GAGCACACGTGAGTCCCCACTCCTGGTCACGGCTGAGTTACGTTCCACCGCAGGGATGGACTAGGCTTTGTTTTAGCCACTTGGCCACTGACGTTTCTACTCTTAGGCTATTGTGACTCATGCTGCCCCATCTCGTTTTTCACCCAAAGGGGCCAAGAGACTGGAAATGAGAGGGACCCTGGAGCCCAGAAGCTAGGACTCTGAGAAGAAACTGCTACTAAAGGTGGGAGCCTTCCTCCAGCGAGGAAACCCGGGGTGGAGCTGGGGGCTTCTCCCGGTTCTGTCTCCCTGGATTCAGATAATAAACAACCCTGCCTGTTCACCAGGTTCTTGGTGCAAACAGCCCCTTCCTGGTCAACTCCTTCTGGTCTCAAAGGCCAGCGGGGTCGCAACGCTTTCTGTGTCTGTAGGGGTCCCGTTGTTCAAAGTAGCCAGGGCCTCAGAGACGGCTGTTCGCTCTCAGCACGGAGGCCTCCCCGTTGCCTGGAAGAGCCATTCCACGTGTGTGCTCTACCGCGAGCCGCAGGGAGGCTGACAGATCCGTGGGCACCCACAGAAAGCCCAGAGCCTGTCACCCACAAGGCCAGAGGCTTCCCGGTTCTGGGCAAGGGGGCTGCCCACCCACTCCCAAGTCCCTACACTCTCTGGCCCAAGAAGGACAGAGACAATGGTGAGCTTCAACGCCAGGGCCAGCCTGTTTTAGTCAGTGTTTCATTTCTTCTTCAATTCCTTACTTTATAAAATGGAAAACTGGTTACCTTTCATTAGTCTTGATGATAAAAACTTAATTTAATAGGTCTCTAAAATCCCAGAGGCTGGCAACCTCTAAGACCTCACTTTATTTTCTAGCTGGGAAGACTGCCAAGATTCTTACCAGGCACGGCCCCACTGTCCTTGAGTCGCGGCCCTGCTGTTGGTGATGCAGTCTGGACTCTTGGTTTTGGAAGCATCATGTAGGGAGTTTGCAGCCATTGGGCCCTGAGGGAAGAAGATAATCCTGCTCAGATCATCCCATGAAGAAGAGCCACCACATCTCCCTGCCACATCTGCCACCGCTCATAGACTCTGCAGGACTGGCCTCTTTCACTTGCCTACTCACTACCTTGTCCTGATTCCAGATAGGGAAGAGATGACGGATTGTGCTTCAGTTTCTCCTTCCTGAAATCTGCAATAACCTCCTACCTGGCCCTCCTATGTCTCTTGATTCAGTCTTCAGATGGTGGCAGAATGCCCTCTTACCATGTGAACCAGGCCATCCATGTTTCAGAAACCTCTTGCAATCTGCTCCTGCCTCCTGTCCTCCCCACTCCCTCCTCATACCTCCTAATCCAGGCACATAGGATCTTTAACGATCCTTGAATATGGTTCATTTCATTCATGATACCTGTTATTTCTGCTTAGAACATGCTTTGCAGGTCTCCTCATTCAGATCTTTTGTAAAATGTCCCTTCCTTAGTATGACTTTTTATTTTTCCTGGAGTTAATTATTGCCTACTTTTTCCATTTGCTAAGGTTTCTATGCATGTCACTAATTTTTTTTCTGAATACTCTAACAGAGCTATCACACATTTCAGCAATTTTTCTAGATACTCTAACACAATAATTGATCATTTCCATTCTCCCTCTCCCCTATAGCCATTCATCTTGCACCAATGTACAAGCCAGTCAGCCAATTTACATTGCCTGCACCCCAGACCCCCTGCCAAGTCACTCTCCCCGCTACTTTATTTTCTTAATAACTCTTTACATCATGTAGAATGCTTTTTTTTTTTTTTTAATTTGAGTGCATGTCTATTGTCTGTCTCCCTCCATTAGAATGTAAGCTCCCCAAGGGCAGGAATCATGTGTCCTATTTATTGTTCTACTACCAAGTCCTAGAACACAGTCTGGTACATACAGTGCATTCAATAAATAATCACTCTACAAAAAAAGGGGGAATAACTGAACTTGTCTATGGGGGAAGCAATGACATCTACACTTCCAGAACAAGTTCTAATTGTGAAGTTTTCAAAATATCAAGGATAAGAAAACATGATATTAAAAGCTTTTAGAGAAAAATCCAGAATCAAGAATCATACTAGCAGTAAGTTGGATTTTAGAAGACAATGATGGAAAACTTTAAAAACTCTGAGGAAAACTGTTTTGCAACCTAGAATTCTATTCCCAGATTAACTATTATTCAGAGGAGATGACACAGGATCCAAGAGAGCTACTGAAAGAAAGCCCAGTGAAAGGACAAGGGGATGAGAGCTGTGCAGTGCACCAGACAGTAACCAGTCCACACTGGTACTAAATGAATGGCTTTGTTGGGAGGGAGAATAGAAATGATGAATTTTATTGTGTTAGACTGTGAAAAATTATTGATCGTATGACAGCTGTATTGCAGCATTCAGAAAAAAAAATAGTGAAAGATGCATAGAAACCTTAGTAAATGGAAAAAAAGAAAAAAGAAAGAAAGAAACCTTGTGAATGGAAAGTGAGGCAACCATTAACTCCAGGAACAATAAAAAGTCATACAAGGGGGAAAAAAAACCCCAAACCATAATTGTAGTACATTACTTGGCTTAACAGTAAATAATAGTAACTTCATCATAACAGTGTAATACCTGGCTATAGACTGACTACTAGATGTGTAGAAGGATACATAAAGCTGAGCGTGACAAAAGTAAATTATTTAAAAATAAGCAGGTAAAAACAACAATACAAAAGTAACTAAAATAATGAAAAGTATTTGTTTCTGGGAATTAAGACTATGGGATGAAGTGGAGAACTGTTTATTCTACATATAAGTCTTAAAAGCCGCTGACTTGTTTAAAAATGTGAACATGAGTTACTTTAACACAAATGTACATTCATTAAAAAAAATTTCAGTGACAAAAGACATTTTCATTTGTAGTGTGAGAACTGTAGCCACATCACTTAATTTAATTTTCACAGGTAAGTTTATGGAATGTCTACCTATGATGTACAAAGCAGGATGAAGAGTTCCTTATGGACCATCCATCTCTACAGCCCCGAAACAGAATACAGAGCTTGGTGTGTGGGAGTCACTTTCACTGAACATGGCAGAAAACTGGAAAAGGGCCAGAAATGTATAGGCTCAGAACTCAGTGTAAAAAGCCAAACAGAAAATGCTGCTGAAAGGAAAGAGTGTATCTTCTACAGATTCAAACAAGCCCAAACAAATATTTTGAGATTACAGAGTTCATTCACCCAGGAGTCTCCTCTGTCATGAGCACTGAATCTTGTAATAAATGTGTAAGTTACATCCTTGGAAACAAGTAGCCAGGGGAGAGGGAGGTGTTCGGGGTGTATTTTATTTTATTCCTAAGACTCACAGACAGGAGTTGATGTACCAGCTGTCTTTACTTTTTCAAAGCTAAAAAGTCACTTTCTATGCCCACAAACAACAGTGCTAAGACACGCTTACCTCCAATGTCTTGTCTAGGGGTTTCACAGCAGAATGGAAGTGTTCCTTCTTGAACGGGCCTCTCTAAAATCTCTGGAATTTCTTAATTCAAAAGGCCCACTTGATCCTTCTCAACCCACTAAGAAAGTCCTGCAGGGACACAAAAATGATGAAGACGCTCAGGGAGCTGACATTTCAGGATTGAAGGCAGTTAAGGACCCAAAAGGCATTTATTCAAGGCCCACTGTTGGAACCAAGTGAGAAGTGCAAGCCCAAGAGCTCAGGGTTCAAAAGCGGAAGACACCCCATGGAGGGGGTAGGGAATATTACCACCCAGCTTCTTTGCCTAGCACACACAGTGTCTGGCAAATAGTAAGTACTTAATTATAATGGGGGGGTTGAACACAAGTCTTCATGGCAGCATCACCTTGGACATGAGCCTTAGCATAGGCAGATGCAGACCTGATGAGTAGCAATGAACAGAAAGGTATTTTCTTTGAAGACTTACACCAAGCAGCCACATATGCATCTGAAACATTTCTAGAAGCTTATTTGTGCCATCAGCCCGAATCAAGCCCCCCGGAGTTAGCACATTCCATTGGTACATTCTGGGAGCCAGTGAGAGCCTAAGAACATGGAGCAGCAGTGAGAGTGATCTGGGCTTGGAGCCTGGCTCTCTGCAGACTCGCAGGACCCAGTGACCTTCCTAAGTGTCTTGGGTCATGAATGCCTACACATATGAGGATCTGCAGTGGTTGTTAAAGCTGGGTGAGGGAGAGTTAGTGTCCCATACCTGGGGATAAAGACCAGCCAGGGGAGGGGATGAGGCTTTCTGACAGCCTGATCAGCTCCCTCGACTGGTCTTTGAGTTCCACAGGCCGAAGCCAAAAGGACATGGCCCCTGGGGGTTTGAGGATGACATAGAAGTGCCTGACCCTAAGCTTCTGATTGCCAAGGCATTCATGGCAAAGACATCCATCTCAAATAAACATACCACCAGCTGCTTAACCCAGCTACCAGCCAAACAACCAGAGAAGGAACCAGGCCACTCCCACCTGTAAGTCCCCTTTCAGAAAGCCCTAGGTGACCAAGAGAGCTGACCACTGCAGTGACCTCCCTTCTTCCCGTGCCCTTATTCCCACTCTTATGCTTTAAATGGCCAATAAAGAGTGAACCCATGAAACCCCAGGCCCCCACCCTTGACCCCCATGAAGGCAGAGTCCCAGGCCCACATACACCCTCTCTCCCCATGACCTCACTGTGTCTCTGAGCATTCTGTGTGGCCTCCAGGACCTGTGAGTAATAAACCTTGCTCGTCGGAGCTCCCCAATGGTTGTTGCTGAGGCGCGCCTGCAATCATAAGGACCACTAGGGCTGGGCCAGCCATGATGGCCCTGGGAGGGAGCGGGTTGCCCCAGTAATACAAGCCCAAGAAGGTGCTTCAGGCATTCCCAGACCACAGTATCACTATCTACAGGCTGAGACCCACACAACAGATGACTTACGCCCCTTGGCAGCTTTTTGGCATATTGAAATTTTACAAGTTTGGGGATGCTCTAGACACCCAGGAGCATGGCAGAGACATCTGGGGGCTGGCACAAGGAACGTCCTGGAGGCCCCAAGGTCACCACCAAGGCTGTGAGTTCTCAGCAGCACAGATTCCTGCTGCCCACTTGGAATCCAAGTTGTGGGACCACCTGCTAGGCCTGTTTCCTCATCCACAAGCAGCTGTCACCTGCTTACTCAAGGAAATGAGGTCATGGCACCAAGTGCTCAGAGCCTTCCCTGACCCCATTGGAGTTCACCTAAAAGAGAGCCAGCTATCGCCAAAAGGATCCTCAGCACCCTCAGGCCTCAGGAAGGCTCAGCTGGGCTCATGCAGGGCATCAGGGTGAGGTTCAGACTAGCAGAGGTCTAAGGGTCATGCATCCCCAAAGCCAGCCCCAGAGCGTTCTGGTTACCCCCTGCACCTAACCACTCTGCTACCTGGTGGCTTAAAACAACAGTCTTTTCATCCTTTCTCATTGCTTCTGTGGTTAGAGTCTGGGGAGACTGGCTAGGCAGTTACAGGTTGGGGTGTGCCAGAGCGGCTGTCTTCATGAGGTCTCTCCTTTTGGGCCAGCTAGGTCGTCCTCACAGCCTGGTGGCTCAGCGCCATGGAAAGAGGTTCAGGGAACCAGCAAGGGTTCCAGCAGACCCCACAGAGTTGTACCACCCCTTCTGAGGGCCTGAGGAGACAAGTGACAGCACTTCCAGCACATTCTATCAGCTACAGGGAGTCCCAAGTCCACCTCCTTTCAAGGGGAAGGGAATCGAGCTCCACCCCTTGATGCGGGGATTGCAAGGTATGAGAACACAAGATACTGTTGGGGCCATCCCTCGATGATTCAACCTTTACAGACAGTGGCTATGTACTGAGCATCTACGGAGTTCCAAGTGCCCAATATCTTACTGAGTTCTCGCACAGACACCGGAGAGTGAGCATTACGATGTCCATTTTACAGATGAGGACGTTGATGTGAGCAAGGTGGAGTGCGTTCTCTGCTCACTCAGGCCCATGGGGAGGGAGGTTAATGACTTCTGGGGGTGGACTGGAGAAAGAAGAAAGGCAAGGACCCCTACATTTGACTTCTAAACTTGCGTTACAGTGAGCATATATTTGCAGCTTTTGGAGAGCAGACTCCTGGAGCCGCGGTCAAAGCTGCAGCTTACCCTTTAGAATCAGGGCTCAGCGTCTCTGGGCATTTATTTCCACCTAGGGCACATGCCTACTTCTGAAGGCCTCGGAAAGCGCCCCAGGAGTGGCTCTGCTGGGTCCCTGCTGGGCCCTCAGTCCTCTCAAGGTAAGCCAGTCCACAGCCTCCTGGCGCCAAGAGCTTGGAGGGGCCACACATCTGCAAAGCAGCCCCTGCGTTTGGAAGTGAGGCTTGTGAACTGTACGTGTGAGTTGAGGGAGTGACCACTGCAGAAGGTCCAGGGTCGGGGGCGGGGCTGGGGCGGGCTGGGTTGTAGAGAAGCTGCAGGTAAACCAAGAATCACCCCAAAGATCAGCCCCATCATGCTTTGGGAATGGTGGGGGGGGATGCACAGGTGACCTCCCGATCCCCATTCAGCCACAAATGTTCCCAGAATTGTGGGTCTTAGGACTCCAAGAGCTGTTTAAAAACTCTTTTCATTATTGCTAAATTATTTTATTACATAAGCCTGTTTTCTGGAAAATAGGAAAAGAACACCTGTATCCCCATCCCTGTTTAAGGCTTGGGTGTACAGCTTTTCAAGTAATCTTTTTAATGACAGACTTATCTCCCTCCTGCCCCTTTTGCTGTGACATGCCAGGGGACTTGTTTCCATGTTGAGTCCATTCGTTTTAACAGTTGCCACGTATCTCACCGTATTAGTGCATCATGACTTAATCTGATCTTCTTACTGATAGTCATTAATTGTTTCTGGTTTTTGTATGTATATACAGCAAGTCATAATGGGAGTTCTTGCATCTGCATGTTTACACAGCTGTCTGAATATGTCTGGGGATAAACTCCTAAAGATAGATGTTGGGTGGACAGGTAGGTTTACCTGGCCTCTAGAACTGTCTTCACAACCAGAAGAGCAGCTGCCCACCCCTCACCGATTCTGATGTTTATCATTCTTTTTCATCTCAGGTTGACTTTGTCAGGTCTGTATTCTTCAGTCCCTACTACTCTTGGATTCACAAATTCCCAAACCAGACCCCGCGCTGTTCAGATAAGGTTCCAAGAAATGTTTCCGTATTCGAATAGTACCTGGCACAGCCCTCAGAAAGATTACCTGTTATCATCACAGTTATCTGAACTTCACTACCAGGCCTCTCCATGCCCCATGTTTCCAGCTCCCCCTCCCCAACCATCCATATATTTTTTTGAGAGAACACACATTTTATTAAAAAGGAATTCGTCAAATTGCGCTCACAAAGAGCGCGTCGTTTTCTGCTCCTACCAAGAGTACACAAAAGGTCTTTTACGCTTCACTGAGCAGCCCACTCCCTCGCTGCCCGTCTCTCAAATCTGGGCACCCAAAGTGGCGCCCGGTGGGGCCCAGTTCCTTTCTCTTTACCTAAGGAGATGCAGGAAGGGCTCAGGTGGGCCAAAGAGGGCAGCGGTCCTCAGATCGGGGCGCTTCTGAGACTAGATCACCCCCGGCCGCTCACCTAGGCGCCCCCCACCTGCATGCACCGCGCTGGCTCACCTGGGCGCCCCTCACCTGCGCGCACCGCGCCAGCTCACCTGAGCGTCTGACTGCGCACCCACCTGGGTCCCCAACTCCAGGCCTGCAGCCCAACCGGCAGCCTAGAGAGGCCGCGAAGCTCCGCCCCCAGCATGACGTGATGCGATAGACGACCAATCGGAGGCGGGCCCTGAGCGGCCGGCGTCCCTGCGCCCCGCGATTGCTCGCACGCCTCGCCCCACCCCCTGAGCTGATACCGGACCACCAACTGCGCCACTCGGCGCCGCTGGGGCGCGGGATTGACGGCCGAGGGCCCGCCCCGCGGACGACTGGCTGCCGGAGCAGCACCCCGCACCCACGCTAAGCCCCGCGGAGCGCGCGAGGGCCGGCGCTCCATCCACCCAGTGGCGGCGGGCAAGTTGCTTCCCCTGCGCTCCAGTTTCCTCTTTATGCAAATGGGGCTTCCAAGGCGCGCAGCAAACACTTGCTGAGCATCTGATGTGTCAGGCCCTGGGTCCACAGCAACCCACAAAACGGACAACATCCCTGCTCCTAGGGGTCACCACTGTTAGGGGCGGGGGGGAGAGCAATAATCAATAAACAATAATCAAATAGGTGGAGTGTCAGGTGGTGAAGGTGCTGTGCAGAGGATTAGAGCAGTTTGATTTGGGGGTGTCAGGGAAGGCTCTGCTAGGAGGCCTGGCAGGTCTGGTTCCCCCAGAAGTGAGGGAGATGGAGTTTCGGGTCAGGATCACACCTGTGCAGAGATGAGAGGGGAAAGAAGCAGCAGCGCTGGAAAGAAAGAGAAGTTGAACTGCCATGCAAGCCCGGCAGGGGCCAACAGCATGGGGCAGATAAGAAGCCAAGACAGTTGTCCCGCTTGGCAGGAATGCCCAAGCCACATACATACTCCTGCCTCCGGAGATCAGCTACTGGACAGGGCCACCCTTGCAAGGCCATGACATTGGGCAGGGCAGCTGTACAACCCAAGCAGCCGCTGGAGGGGTGGGCAATTGAAGGTGTCTGCTGGCCCCACTCCCAACATTTGGGACAAGGTCTTGTTTGCATAGGGATCCGATTGGCACAGCTCTGTGTCCCTCACAGAGATACGTTTTTTCTGCAGTTTTTTATTTTGAAAAATGTCAACACACACCAGTTGAATATATACTAAAGTGAGCACCCATATACCTAGATTCAGCAGCTGCTAACAGTTTCCCACATTTAATTTCCTTCTCTCCCTCTCTCTCTCTGTATCCATCCCCCACTTTTTTCCCTGAACCATTAATTAGCCGCAGGTGATGTCTTCTTCCTAAATACTTCAGCAACCATCTCTTACATTACCCAAATGAAATACATTACACTTTGGAAATTTTGTATCAACCCAATGCTATTATCTAATATATTGTTCATATTCAGTTTTCCCCCCATCGTCCCATTCATGTCCTTTATAGCTGTTTATTAAAAGTCAGGATCCAATCGGGAAACCACTCTGTGCGTCAGGTGTCACGGCTCCTTAGCCTTAATCTAGAGCACTGCCCCAGCCTCCCTCCCCTCTCCTCCCCTCCCCTCCCCCTCCCTTTCCTTCTTCCAATTGTCCATCATGAACAAGCATTACTTTAGAGATGGGGGAAAAAGTATTTTAAATGTGAAAACGTGTATGACAAAAGCAGCATCGCAAGTCGGGAGAAAAAGACGGACTGTTCAATGACAGTGAGAGTTACTTATTCATACGGGAAAAAATTGGATTCCTACCCTACCTAAATGGACGAAAGAATGAGCTGTGTTAAGAAAAAGCGAAAGCCTGCCGCAGTAGATCGTTACGAGCGCTCCGGGTAAGAAATGTGGCAAGAGCATAACTGCACCCCGCCAGGCTGCGGGACCTGTAGGCCTAGGGAAACGAGGCGCGGCCCGCACAGAGGCCCGCTCTTGGAAAGGAAAACAGAGCCAGCGCGTGCGCGCGTGCGGGCGCAGCGCTGAGCACGCCCTCCGGCACTGAATGGAGAGCTCACGCAGCACCCAACTGCAGAAGAAGGATGAAAACGACGTATCTAACATTACGAGGGGAAACAGCCAAGTTGAAGAAGCAGATTGGGTGCAGTTTGTGGGGAGGTGTGGAATAAAATAGTGGAGCTGCGCTCGCTCCGGGGACCGGCCGCCGGCCCCTGCGGTGGGTCGCAGGGCTGCAGGAACTCATCCGGGGTTCGCGGTGGGGCGGAGCGGACGGGCCTCCTTCCTGCGCAGGAGCGGCCGCGACTCCGCGGGCGGGGCGTGGGCGGGGCGTGGGCGGGGCCTGTCGCCGCGGCTCTGCTGTCCAACCCCGGCCAGACCCCGCGGGACGACCCGGAAGAGGCCAGGCCAGTGCGGCCAGGATGGGCCGGAAGGTGACCGTGGCCACCTGCGCGCTCAACCAATGGGCCCTGGACTTCGAGGGTAATTTGCAGAGGATTTTAAAGAGTGAGTCTCGGGGCGGCGGGGTGGGGGCAGTGGGAGGAGTGGGAGGACAGGGTAGGACAGGCTGGTGGGACTGGGTGTGGGGAGGTCGGGGTGGGGGGGAGCGGGGTTCCGAGGGGGACAGGGTGTGAGGGGGGACGGGGTGGGGCAAGTGGGGCCGGAGTGACAGGGTTATGGGGTGGGGGTTGGCGAAGGTCCAGGCCTGCCGGGCCTGCTTGCTTGTGAGGTACACACAACCTTGGTCTGTGGAAAGTCGCAGCCCTGGGCTTGGGGACAGATAAGATGATGCATAATGACCCCCCGTAAGTGCCCAGGCCCCCCCTGAATTGGGGGGACAGATAAGATGATGCATAATGACCCCCCGTAAGTGCCCAGGCCCCCCCCGAATTGGTGGGGACGGATAAGATGATGCATAATGATGCCCCCGTAAGTGCCCAGGCCCCCCCCAAATTGGGGGTGGTTTACCGTTCCTGGGGGTACCCATGGTATACACTCGTGGTAGGAAAAGCGTGGCTGCAGAGGCAGAGATGGAGATGAGAGACTGAGGCTTACCTGTCCTCAGATACCTCCGGGGTCCAGTGTGGCTTAGTTAGGGCTGAGATGCCTGAGAAGGGCTGAGTTGTCCATGTTTAGAGGCATTTAAGGAAGAGGGTGGTCAACCACCAGCGAAGATGTTGTGAAGAAGTGTCCCACGAAAGGTGGTCTTGTTACCAGACAGAGAACTGGTTCCTAACTCAGTTTCGGCAGCTTGCCATCAACACAAGTGATGGGGAGTAAAGAAAAACTTGCTTTATTCAGGAACCAGGCAACCTGGGAAGATGTTGAACTAACGTGTCAAAGTCCATCTTTCCCATCCAGGGGGAGCCCGAGGGTTTCAAAAGGGATGGTGCAGGAAGAGGGAGAGGGGCTGCATGCAGGAGAAGCAGGTGCCCAGATGGCAGTTAGATGTGGACATGACCCTGAACGGACTCGCTAGCATCCCGCCCCCTCAGCTGTTCTCGAATGCTGTCAGGGCTCATCATCTGGGAGAGTCAGGTCCTTCACTCCGTGAGCCCAGTGGTCTGCAAATCTCAAGGACAGTAGGTTAGTTCTGTTACAGACCCAGGGACTTAGGTCAGCAAGCAAGGAGCACATGAGCTTGAAGCAAGTCAGACTTTAAGACAGACGGGAGTGCTGTTACTGTGTCTGGTGCCTAGAGACTGTCCTGATGGGTAGACTTTGCGAGAAGCCAGCCCCTAGAGGGAAGCAGAGTAAGGGGTGAGCCTGCAATCTTAGAGACTAGGGTGTGGTTGTTGTGGGGGGGGGCCCCATATAGTGAGCCTTGGCACCAGCCCATCTGTGAGCATGAAAGGTCCAATTACTCAGACCTATAGCTAGAGTGGGGCTGTCCTGGGCAACCCTGCAGGTGTGCTCACCCCAGGCCGTCTTGTTCTGAGCTGCTCCCTGCAAGAGTGTTTGCAGTAAGAACAGGAGGATGCTAGAGAGGGCATCTTTTCAGCCATGTGCCCCAGACCTTCAACCTCTTTTTTTCAACCTCAATCTGCTTTCATCTTATCAGAGTGCAGAGCATATCTAATTGGAGCGAGGCGGTCGGTGGCCAGAGCTGAGTCTCTGTTCAGGTGGCCTCTCCTCCGCAGGTGCACATTGGGCCCCGCTGCCCCAAACCAGAGGTTTCCAGTGCTGCTGTAGGCTGTGGTCCTTCGAGTCCTGCCCTCTCCCTGCACACGGTCTTCCATATCTGCCCGTTAATGAACTACCAGGGTGTGGCTGCTTCCTCCCAGGTGCTAAGGTCAGCCCTGCAGGCCCTGTGTCTTATTTCCCTCCGGTGTAAGCAGGGTCTGTGGGAGAGCCTGTCCTTGGCTGCATGGGGTCAGGGAGATCACTGAGTGCTTTTGTTTGTGGTTTGGCTTTTTATCACGCCTATTACAGCAGTGTTTTATCTGCCTCTGACCATGTTGTAGGTGCTGAAATTGTTCCCCTCTCTCTCTCTCTCTCTCTCTCAGGTATTGAAATTGCCAAACGCAAAGGAGCAAGATACAGGCTGGGACCAGAACTGGAAATATGGTGAGAGCAGAACACACAGACCCCACAGGGCAGGCAGGTGGAGGGATCCGCATCAGCTCCCCGCAGTGGAAACGCTGGGAAGGGGGGTGGGTATGGAGAGGTGCAGATGGGCGGGCCTGTTGAGGGGCATCGAAAGCCCGCGAGTAGGCTTGCTTGATGCCTCTGAGCAAGAGTGCCCAGCCAGGCTGGGCCAGCCTGGAGCCCCATGTCGGGTCACTAGAGGAGCAAGGACTCGGCAGTTGGACTGATGTCCAAGCCGCTTCTGCTGGCCACCACCCTCCCCAGGCCCTCCCTCTCATGTTTGGTCACAAGCACGTTTCACTTACTGGTCTCGGCATCTCTCCACAAGTGAGTGTGAGTGATCACTTCCACTCTGCCTGTTCGAAGTGATCGGGAAGCCAGTTCCTCCTTGTCCCTTATTCAGAAATAAGCAAGTGGTCGCTGCGTGCAAGTGTCTTATGAGCTACGGTTCTTTTGTGACAGATGTCAGCTGCCCTCTGGGTTCCCACGTGTTTACAGGTCCTGGCCATTTGTGGGATCAGAAGTTCCTCCTCAGGCCATGTCCCTGCCTTAGATTCTGGGCTTTGTGTAAACAGAAAGTCTCACCTCCCAGGTGTCTTTGTATTCGCCCTTGAGGCCACTCCTGTCCTTTTCCTCGAGAGCTGGACTTCTGTCTTTGGAATCTCAACTTCAGCTCGGGCTGTGTCTCCCGTGGTAGCCAAGAGCATTTGCACCCTCACTTAACCTGCTCTTCAAGACACTCCTCTGCCCCTGGGGTCCTGGGGTGTGTAAATGATCTCTACCCCTGAGGTCCTGGCTCAGTGTTTGTATTTTGTCTGTTCTTCCCACTGCAGGGTTGCCCTCAGCAGCCCAGTCCCCCTGGCATAATCGCTGTCCAGACACCTCCAGGTTAGGTTCTTACTCCTTTCTTTGTCCTGTGCTCTCCCCACACCTGGCCCCCAAATCTGGACCCGTCATTTTATAAGGCGGAGGATGTTAGTTACAGGATCGACAAGCTGGGTGGCCTCAAACAGCTGGAACTGACTCTCTCACAGTTCCGGAGGCCAGAAGCTTCCTCCAAAAGCTCCAGGGGAGGATCCTTCCTGCCTCCTCCAGCTTCCGCTCCCACCCCTTGTCCTGTGGCTGCGTCCCGCCTATCTCTGTCTTTACACCGCTCCCCTCCATGTCTTCTCCTCCTCCTGTTCGATTCAGCACCTGCCTAGGTCATTCAGGCTCATCTCATCTTTAGATCCTTAATAACCTCTGTAAAGACCCTTTCCCCAGTACGGTCACATTCACGGGCTCTGGAGGTTAGGAGGTGGACACAGCTTTTTGGGGGACACCATCCAGCCTGCTACCAGCACAAACCATAGCAAGAAGTAGGAGTCACTCTGTGAGTGATAATGGAATGATATTAATGATCTTCCTTGTCTGAGGAACGTGTTCCTGTGGGTTCGGCTTTGTAGATCAATGTGATTTTGGCTGCATTAAAAGTTAAAAAAACATCCACAGGCAGACATGTTGACACAAGAGAGAATTTCTCATTGTAACTTAAAGCTAGGAAAAAAGAGCCTGGGGCCAGAGGTTTCTTCATTTTTGGGGAAATGCATCCTCTTTTGTAGCAGTGATCCTAACTCCGGTTGCACAGTGGAATCGCTGGTTGCAGCCCTGCATGTTCCGACCCCATTGGCCCGTGGGCCCCTGCCGCCCCTCCCCACTCCCCCAGTGCGTCTCCAGGGCTCACCTGCCTGCTCCCTTCCTCTGCAGTGGCTACGGGTGTTGGGATCATTACTACGAATCGGACACCCTCTTGCATTCACTCCAAGTCCTGGCCGCCCTTCTGGACTCTCCGGTCACTCAGGATATCATCTGCGACGTGGGACTGTAAGTGCTAACACGCACATCTGGGAAGGCAAGCTCAGAAAACAAGGGAGGTTCAGGGTGCGAGCTGGCCTACCTTCAGGGATTCGGGATCTGCACACTTCAAAGATACAAAAGGCCTTATGTTGCAAAGCGGGTTTTGTACGCCCCCCAGCCTGTAGACCCCTAGGTCCCCCAACGGAGGCAGCTCTAGGAAGCAGCTTTTACAGGTTCCCCGAGAAGCTCCTGCCCGTGTGGGAGCACACTGTGCACCGTGGGAGCATGGTGTTCACCCCGTCACACATATGGAACTTTCTTCACTTAATGGTAAGTCTTGGGATGAGGCCACATCACTCCACATCAACACGCAGGCCATATGGTTCCAGATGGTGCAGTTGTATGTGGCGTGGGTACGTAGGGGTGGGGTCCAGAGGAGCAGGTGTATACGGTGCGGGTACGTAGGGGGCAGGTTCCGTATGGCGCGGGCACGTAGCGCGCGGGTCCCCAGGCGCGGGTCGTACGGGTGGGATTCCGCTACTGTGTGTGCCGTCCTTGCAAAGCCAGAGCCCCTCAGTGGGCTCATGTGTCCTTCCTGTTTAAATCTTCAGGTCGGTTCTGCCTGACGGAAGCAGAGCCCTGTTTGCTTTCCTCTTAGCGCAGCCTTGCGTGTGCCCACCACTTCCTTCCACCTCCTGTGACCCGTGTTTACTGGGGCCTCCTTTCAGCAGCTCACAGACGGGTTTTTTTTTTCTTCTTCTTCTTTTTTTCAATTTTATTATGTTATTTTTTTTTTTTTTTAAA